CAGAACACACTGAGCGACACCGGGTCCGTCAGAACACACTGAGCGACACCGGGTCCGTCAGAACATTCAGCTTTAACCCGTATTTAGGCCTAGTCTTTTTTCCGAGGTCTGTTCACTGAATATGGACCAGTGACTTAAAGTAATAACTTAGTAATTAACTGTGTAACTGAAAGGTATAAGTAACTACTCATCTAAAGGTAACTAAGTAACTACTCATCTAAAGGTAACTAAGTAACTACTCATCTAAAGGTAACTAAGTAACTACTCATCTAAAGGTAACTAAGTAACTACTCATCTAAAGGTAACTAAGTAACTACTCATCTAAAGGTAACTAAGTAACTACTCATCTAAAGGTAACTAAGTAACTACTCATCTAAATGTAACTAAGTAACTACTCATCTAAAGGTAACTAAGTAACTAGTGAAGTCTTTTCCTCTGCTGCATTTAAATAAAGAATCTTGCAATAGGCACAGTTTGTTTAGTAAATCCCAAACATCACGGCCCTTACAATGATCAGAAGTCCATAGAACGGTCTCTGTAGGAACTCCTCCTGCTGTTTTTATCTGTTTTTACTCCCATTATAGAGTGATTTAGTCCCAACATCACGCACTCAGCGGCTACACATCATGATGGGTCTGTTTTGTTTTGTTATAAATGAGCATTTATTTACATCCTTAAACACCTGAAAATCTGCTCAAAACCACTGAACAAAATAACACTGTTAATATCAACATACAGGAGTGACTCAGATAAAACCAAACTGTTTAAGTAGGACTGTAGGGTAGGGTAGGGTAGGGTAGGGTAGGGTAGAGTAGAGTAGGGTAGGGTAGAGTAGAGTAGGGTAGGGTAGGGTAGGGTAGAGTAGGGTAGGGTAGAGTAGGGTAGAGTAGAGTAGGGTAGAGTAGGGTAGAGTAGGGTAGGGTAGAGTAGGGTAGAGTAGAGTAGGGTAGAGTAGGGTAGGGTAGAGTAGAGTAGGGTAGGGTAGAGTAGGGTAGAGTAGAGTAGGGTAGGGTAGAGTAGGGTAGAGTAGGGTAGGGTAGAGTAGGGTAGAGTAGAGTAGGATAGAGTAGGGTAGAGTAGGGCAGGGTAGAGTAGAGTAGAGTAGAGTAGGGTAGGGTAGAGTAGGGTAGGGTAGAGTAGGGTAGGGTAGAGTAGGGTAGAGTATGGTAGAGTAGGGTAGAGTAGGGTAGGGTAGGGTAGGGTAGAGTAGGGTAGGGTAGGGTAGGGTAGAGTAGGGTAGGGTAGGGTAGGGTAGAGTAGGGTAGGGTAGGGTAGGGTAGAGTAGGGTAGGGTAGAGTAGGGTAGAGTATGGTAGAGTAGAGTATGGTAGAGTAGAGTAGGGTAGAGTAGGGTAGGGTAGGGTAGGGTAGAGTAGGGTAGGGTAGAGTAGGGTAGAGTATGGTAGAGTAGGGTAGGGTAGGGTAGAGTAGGGTAGGGTAGAGTAGGGTAGAGTAGGGTAGGGTAGAGTAGAGTAGGGTAGGGTAGAGTAGAGTAGGGTAGGGTAGATTAGGGTAGAGTAGGGTAGGGTAGAGTAGAGTAGGGTAGAGTAGGGTAGAGTAGGCTGGGGTAGAGTAGGGTAGAGTAGGGTAGGGTAGAGTAGAGTATAGGGATAGGTCTGGTGGAAACGGGCCTCTTGGAAACACAGTGAGTAAATGGCCTCAGAACAGAACCAGACTGAAGTCTGAGCTGGATGTTTGCCAAATGCAGAATATAATGATCTTTCCACCCACCAGGGGGCGCTACTTAAGACGCCCAAATCTGAATGATGTAGAAGTTATTTTGAGCTCTCGGGCGTCTCTTTAACGTCTCGCGTATTGGTGGGGCTTAAACCCAACCTGAGGCCAACAGCAGCTCGCGACTCCAGAGGAGAGACAGACTTTGTGCAGGAGAATAAAGGAAAACTAATTTGGTTCGTGCTGTTTAAGCCCTCTGCAGGCGGGGGGAGTGGGGGGGAGTGGGGGGGGGGGGAGGAGCGGGAGGAGCAGGGGGAGGAGCGGGAGGAGCGGGAGGAGCTGTGGGCAACGGAAAAAAACAACTGAACTACAGAGAAACAGGCTTTGGAAAGAAGAGAGATGTAGACAAGAACAGAAGGAGAGAGGACTGGCCTCCTGCTGGGACTCTGAGGAGCACAGGGACTGGACTCCTGCTGGGACTCTGAGCACAGGGACTGGCCTCCTGCTGGGACTCTGAGGAGCACAGGGACTGGACTCCTGCTGGGACTCTGAGCACAGGGACTGGCCTCCTGCTGGGACTCTGAGGAGCACAGGGACTGGCCTCCTGCTGGGACTCTGAGGAGCACAGGGACTGGCCTCCTGCTGGGACTCTGAGGAGCACAGGGACTGGCCTCCTGCTGGGACTCTGAGGAGCACAGGGACTGGCCTCCTGCTGGGACTCTGAGGAGCACAGGGACTGGACTCCTGCTGGGACTCTGAGGAGCACAGGGACTGGCCTCCTGCTGGGACTCTGAGGAGCACAGGGACTGGCCTCCTGCTGGGACTCTGAGGAGCACAGGGACTGGACTCCTGCTGGGACTCTGAGGAGCACAGGGACTGGACTCCTGCTGGGACTCTGAGGAGCACAGGGACTGGCCTCCTGCTGGGACTCTGAGGAGCACAGGGACTGGCCTCCTGCTGGGACTCTGAGGAGCACAGGGACTGGCCTCCTGCTGGGACTGGGGTGGGGCGGGTGGATCCAGGACTCAGGCTGTAGAACACTTTCTTAACTTTAACACCACAAACTCACATTTTCACACCAAAGTCTTATCCAGGAACAGAACGACAACATGCGCTCGTTGGACCGACCTCAGAGACCAGATTATAGCCATATGCTCACATCTGTGCCTGGGTACACTGGGTACACTGGGTACACTGGGTACACTGGGTACACTGGGTACAATGGATACAATGGGTACACTGGGTACACTGGGTACACTGGGTACAATGGATACAATGGATACACTGGGTATACTGAGTACAATGGGTACAATGGATACAATGGGTACACTGGGTACACTGGATACAATGGATACACTGGGTACACTGGGTACAATGGATACAATGGATACACTGGGTACACTGGGTACACTGGGTACAATGGATACACTGGGTACACTGGGTACACTGGGTACACTGGGTACACTGGGTACACTGGGTACAATGGATACAATGGATACACTGGGTATACTGGGTACAATGGGTACAATGGATACAATGGGTACACTGGGTACACTGGGTACAATGGATACAATGGATACACTGGGTACACTGGGTACAATGGATACACTGGGTACACTGGTTACACTGGGTACACTGGGTACAATGGATACACTGGGTACAATGGATACACTGGGTACACTGGGTACAATGGATACACTGGGTACAATGGATACACTGGGTACACTGGGTACACTGGGGTACACTGGGTACAATGGATACACTGGGTACACTGGGTACACTGGTTACACTGGGTACACTGGGTACACTGGGTACACAGACTGTGATAAATGGAGCCAGGATTATGTGGCGGCATCGACTGAAGCGGCTTCATCCCGGCTCCTGACGCAGAGAGCATTAAAACAGAACCAGGGATTAAGGAAACCAACTCAACTCGAGCTGTACATGTTAATAATAATAATAATAATAATAATAATAATAATAATAATAATAATAATAATCTGAACGACGACGGGAGCGGAGCCCGACAACCATTTCTGAGACAATTTATTTATGGAAGAGTATTTGTAGTTCATCGTTATCGCCTTTATTAGAAAACCTCAAAGCCTGTGTTTACACTCAGTACTTCTCTGGCTGAACACCTCGAGCTTTAGGTTAGTTTAGTTTAGTTTAGTTTAGTTTAGTTTAGTTTAGTTGGTGTGGTTTATACTCGCTTGTACCCAACATGGAAATGACTAATAAATAAATAATAAATAGATTTTGGTTCTCTATAGAATTGAAAGTGGAAAGAGTAGATGTTGCTCCTCATGTTTCTGCTTTAACTGATCAAAAACAGTCACTTCTTACAGAAATGAGAAAGTTTCGAGCTACTTTTTTTCAATATTAAACGTGGGATAGTTGTGGTTTATGATCAGGTGCGGCTTGTCAAATGTTTGGAGGCAAAGACGTCTGACAGACCCAGACAGACTCTCACAAAGACAGAAAGCAGAATCATACTTTTAGAGCAGATTCTGGACAGAAATGTGAGCGGGTTGTATTTGGCAAATCAACAGTTACATAAATGGGAAAAAGCCGAGAAAAGCGAGTCACCTTCAAAGTAGATTTCCTAATTACAACTATTCAATACAAGACACCTCTTGGAACACTCTCAGCAAAACATTAAAACCATGATTAAAAAACAACTAAAATCCAACAGGATTTACTTTCATTTGGAGCTGTTTTTTCTTCCAACACTCCCCTTGCTCCATTAAAAACACATTTATCCTCCTGGAACAGTTTGAGCTGATCTGGACGGCCTTGGACGGCCTTGGACGGCCTTGGACGGCACTGTCTGTCCTCGCAGATCAGTCGCCCTCAGAGCTTACGGTCTTCAAGAATGAGATGACATAAAAAACCTCAGCGGGAGGAAAGGAGGCTGAAACTTTTACCACAGCTGAAAGTGGACTAAAGCAGGACAGGAACAGGTCTAAAAACCCGGTCTACATGTGGACTGGGACTGGACCAAAGTTAGAATCCCGGTGAGGAACCACAGCAGAGTTAAAACGGTCTAACCGTTTAGAAAGACTTTATAAAGAAATAAAAAGGTGAATATCTCGCTCAAAGTCAGTGAGTGGAAAACAGGCTTCACTTTGACTCTGAGCTGTAGAAGTTTGCTTAAATAACTGCAGTTATTTTCCCTAGAAGCCAATTACATGGTTTTTATTGTAGCTTTCTACGAACAGTAAATGTTTCTATAGAAACTGACAAGAATCAGCTACAATTATCTTTGTGTTGAAAAACTGATCCACCTTCATCACCTCCAGACTTTCCTACAGCAATAGTTCCTCTATGGTCTCCTGCTCATCTCCGAAACACACATCCAGAACTCTACTGTCCATTGGCTCAGCCCCACCCGCCCCAGAGACTACACCACCCCAACACCACCCACACCCGCCCCAGAGACTACACCACCCCAACACCACCCACACCCGCCCCAGAGACTACACCACCCCAACACCACCCACACCCGCCCCAGAGACTGCACCACCCCAACACCACCCACACCCGCCCCAGAGACTACACCACCCCAACACCACCCACACCCGCCCCAGAGACTACACCACCCCAACACCACCCACACCCGCCCCAGAGACTGCACCACCCCAACACCACCCACACCCGCCCCAGAGACTACACCACCCCAACACCACCCACACCCGCCCCAGAGACTACACCACCCCAACACCACCCACACCCGCCCCAGAGACTGCACCACCCCAACACCACCCACACCCGCCCCAGAGACTGCACCACCCCAACACCACCCACACCCGCCCCAGAGACTACACCACCCCAACACCACCCACACCCGCCCCAGAGACTACACCACCCCAACACCACCCACACCCGCCCCAGAGACTGCACCACCCCAACACCACCCACACCCGCCCCAGAGACTGCACCACCCCAACACCACCCACACCCGCCCCAGAGACTACACCACCCCAACACCACCCACACCCGCCCCAGAGACTACACCACCCCAACACCACCCACACCCGCCCCAGAGACTGCACCACCCCAACACCACCCACACCCGCCCCAGAGACTACACCACCCCAACACCACCCACACCCGCCCCAGAGACTGCACCACCCCAACACCACCCACACCCGCCCCAGAGACTGCACCACCCCAACACCACCCACACCCGCCCCAGAGACTACACCACCCCAACACCACCCACACCCGCCCCAGAGACTACACCACCCCAACACCACCCACACCCGCCCCAGAGACTACACCACCCCAACACCACCCACACCCGCCCCAGAGACTACACCACCCCAACACCACCCACACCCGCCCCAGAGACTACACCACCCCAACACCACCCACACCCGCCCCAGAGACTACACCACCCCAACACCACCCACACCCGCCCCAGAGACTACACCACCCCAACACCACCCACACCCGCTCCAGAGACTACACCACCCCAACCCGCCCCAGAGACTACACCACCCCAACACCACCCACACCCGCCCCAGAGACTACACCACCCCAACACCACCCACACCCGCCCCAGAGACTGCACCACCCCAACACCACCCACACCCGCCCCAGAGACTACACCACCCCAACACCACCCACACCCGCCCCAGAGACTACACCACCCCAACACCACCCACACCCGCCCCAGAGACTACACCACCCCAACACCACCCACACCCGCCCCAGAGACTACACCACCCCAACACCACCCACACCCGCCCCAGAGACTGCACCACCCCAACACCACCCACACCCGCCCCAGAGACTACACCACCCCAACACCACCCACACCCGCCCCAGAGACTGCACCACCCCAACACCACCCACACCCGCCCCAGAGACTGCACCACCCCAACACCACCCACACCCGCCCCAGAGACTACACCACCCCAACACCACCCACACCCGCCCCAGAGACTACACCACCCCAACACCACCCACACCCGCCCCAGAGACTACACCACCCCAACACCACCCACACCCGCCCCAGAGACTACACCACCCCAACACCACCCACACCCGCCCCAGAGACTACACCACCCCAACACCACCCACACCCGCCCCAGAGACTACACCACCCCAACACCACCCACACCCGCCCCAGAGACTACACCACCCCAACACCACCCACACCCGCTCCAGAGACTACACCACCCCAACCCGCCCCAGAGACTACACCACCCCAACACCACCCACACCCGCCCCAGAGACTACACCACCCCAACACCACCCACACCCGCTCCAGTGACCACACCACCCCAACACCACCCACACCCGCCCCAGAGACTACACCACCCCAACACCACCCACACCCGCCCCAGAGACTACACCACCCCAACACCACCCACACCCGCTCCAGTGACCACACCACCCCAACACCACCCACACCCGCTCCAGAGACTACACCACCCCAACACCCACCCACACCCGCCCCAGAGACTACACCACCCACACCCGCCCCAGAGACTACACCACCCACACCCGCCCCAGAGACTACACCCCCAACACCACCCACACCCGCCCCAGAGACTACACCACCCCAACACCACCCACACCCGCCCCAGAGACTACACCACCCCAACACCACCCACACCCGCCCCAGAGACTACACCACCCACACCCGCCCCAGAGACTACACCACCCCAACACCACCCACACCCGCCCCAGAGACTACATCACCCCAACACCACCCACACCCGCTCCAGAGACTACACCACTGGAGTGGTGTTGGTTGGTGACCAACACCACCCACACCAACACCACCCACACCCGCCCCAGAGACTACACCACCCCAACACCACCCACACCCGCCCCAGAGACTACACCACCCCAACACCACCCACACCCGCTCCAGTGACCACACCACCCACCACCACCCCACACCCGCTCCAGTGACCACACACCCCAACACCACCCACACCCGCCCCAGAGACTACACCACCCCTGTCCTCAAACACCACCCACACCCGCTCCAGAGACTACACCACCCCAACACCACCCACACCCGCTCCAGAGACTACACCACCCCAACACCACCCACACCCCCCAGAGACTACACCACCCCAACACCACCCACACCCCCCCAGAGACTACACCACCCCAACACCACCCACACCCCCCAGAGACTACACCACCCCCCAAACACCACCCACACCCGCTCCAGAGACTACACCACCCCTGTCCTCAAACACCACCCACACCTGCTCCAGAGACCACACCACCCCTGTCCTCAAACACCACCCACACCTGCTCCAGAGACCACACCACCCCTGTCCTCAAAACACCACCCACACCTGCTCCAGAGACCACACCACCCCTGTCCTCAAACACCACCCACACCCGCTCCAGAGACTACACCCACCCCTGTCCTCAAACACCACCCACACCTGCTCCAGAGACCACACCACCCACACCTGCTCCAGAGACCACACCACCCCTGTCCTCAAACACCACCCACACCCGCTCCAGAGACTACACCACCCCTGTCCTCAAACACCACCCACACCCGCTCCAGAGACCACACCACCCCTGTCCTCAAACACCACCCACACCCGCTCCAGAGACCACACCACCCCTGTCCTCAAACACCACCCACACCCGCTCCAGAGACCACACCACCCCTGTCCTCAAACACCACCCACACCCGCTCCAGAGACTACACCACCCCTGTCCTCAAACACCACCCACACCCGCTCCAGAGACTACACCACCCCTGTCCTCAAACACCACCCACACCCGCTCCAGAGACCACACCACCCCTGTCCTCAAACACCACCCACACCCGCTCCAGAGACTACACCACCCCTGTCCTCAAACACCACCCACACCCGCTCCAGAGACCACACCACCCCTGTCCTCAAACACCACCCGCTCCAGAGACCACACCACCCCTGTCCTCAAACACCACCCACACCCGCTCCAGAGACTACACCACCCCTGTCCTCAAACACCACCCACACCCGCTCCAGAGACTACACCACCCCTGTCCTCAAACACCACCCACACCCGCTCCAGAGACTACACCACCCCTGTCCTCAAACCACTCCACTGGCTCCTGTTCCAGACCGCATAAAATACAAGTCCCTCCTCATCACCTACAAGTCCCTTCATATGGCTCCTTATATCTCACAGAGTCTAAACCCTGAGGACCTGGTTTAAACCCTGAGGACCTGGTTTAAACCCTGAGGACCTGGTCTAAACCCTGAGGACCTGGTCTAAACCCTGAGGACCTGGTCTAAACCCTGAGGACCTGGTCTAAACCCTGAGGACCTGGTCTAAACCCTGAGGACCTGGTCTAAACCCTGAGGACCTGGTCTAAACCCTGAGGACCACAGCACATCAGGAGCTCAGACTTACCCAGACTCGTAACTGTATATTTTGTCTCTTTGTGTCTTTGAGTGTCCAAAAACAGCCCTCTATAACCCCACCACAAGATTATGATTATTATTGGAGCAGGTGGAATATGAGAGAGTGAGATTTGGGAATAAATTGTTGAGTTTATGTTTTCCTTTAGACACAAATCTCCAAGATGTCTTCTTTTTCTCTCCGTCTCCAAAGCCTCTCTCTCCGCTCTCTCTCGACTGATGTATAATTGATCCGTGTATGGCTGTTTTCAACTTTAGAATCTGCCTTTTTAAACTCCTCCGTGCAGATACATAATTTACCATCCCACAATCTTTCCCCACACATCAAAGATTCATTCTGCCAAAATACGTCCGACCGTGGCAATTATTCAGAGACAGGATTGTGTAACAGGTGAATGTTGTGTTATGTCGACCCAGTTTTGTATCACTTTGTGTCGTGGATAAAGTGCCGCCGCGGTGGGAGACCCCTGCTGCACCTTCGTCATCCTCACATCCACTCAGTGTCGGTGTCAGAGCAACAGGCCATATTCACAGCCCACACACATGCTCTGGGATCACACGGGAGGAGGCAGACAGTGGGTGTGTTATCAAATTACTCACATTCACTTCATTCTAAATCACAGACAAGAACTACATCCAATAAATAATAATAATACTAATAATGTACTGGTTTTATTTAGGGCTTTAGGAGATAAACTACTACTGTAGCCACAGCTGCCCTGGGGCACACCGACAGACCCCTCCCACCACCAACCATTCACACACCAGGAGGCCAGTCCCTGTGCTCCTCAGAGTCCCAGCAGGAGTCCAGTCCCTGTGCTCCTCAGAGTCCCAGCAGGAGGCCAGTCCCTGTGCTCCTCAGAGTCCCAGCAGGAGTCCAGTCCCTGTGCTCCTCAGAGTCCCAGCAGGAGGCCAGTCCCTGTGCTCCTCAGAGTCCCAGCAGGAGTCCAGTCCCTGTGCTCCTCAGAGTCCCAGCAGGAGTCCAGTCCCTGTGCTCCTCAGAGTCCCAGCAGGAGTCCAGTCCCTGTGCTCCTCAGAGTCCCAGCAGGAGGCCAGTCCCTGTGCTCCTCAGAGTCCCAGCAGGAGGCCAGTCCCTGTGCTCCTCAGAGTCCCAGCAGGAGGCCAGTCCCTGTGCTCCTCAGAGTCCCAGCAGGAGTCCAGTCCCTGTGCTCCTCAGAGTCCCAGCAGGAGGCCAGTCCCTGTGCTCCTCAGAGTCCCAGCAGGAGGCCAGTCCCTGTGCTCCTCAGAGTCCCAGCAGGAGGCCAGTCCCTGTGCTCCTCAGAGTCCCAGCAGGAGGCCAGTCCCTGTGCTCCTCAGAGTCCCAGCAGGAGGCCAGTCCCTGTGCTCCTCAGAGTCCCAGCAGGAGGCCAGTCCCTGTGCTCCTCAGAGTCCCAGCAGGAGGCCAGTCCCTGTGCTCCTCAGAGTCCCAGCAGGAGTCCAGTCCCTGTGCTCCTCAGAGTCCCAGCAGGAGTCCAGTCCCTGTGCTCCTAGAGTCCGTGTTGGTTCATATGGGACTAACATGTCACAGATGTACTTTTTAGTTAAGTTAAGGTAAAGTATTTAGCAAAAAACAAATCTTTGAATTCAACCATAATTCTCGTTATTTATGAATTCATTATTATTAGTATTAATTGCAGTTGGTAATTATCCACTTCTTTGTTGCTGCACACGATCGCAGAAACATTAATTGCCAATATGTTAAACAGCCTCACACTAATCCTTTAAGACTGTGGAGAGTCATCGGCAACTCTGCGATTACCAGACGCACAAGGTGACAAGAACTGAGCAGAACCTGAGCAGAACCTGAGCAGAACCTGACCAGAACCTGACCAGAACCTGAGTAGAACCTGAGCAGACACTGAGCAGAACCTGAGCAGAACCTGAGCAGACACTGAGCAGAACCTGAGCAGAACCTGAGCAGACACTGGGCAAGCAGAACAGCAGAACCTGAGCAGAATCATAGCAGAACCTGAGCAGAACCAGAGCACAACCTGGGCAGACACTGAGCAGAACCTGAGCAGAACCTGACCAGAACCTGACCAGAACCTGAGTAGAACCTGAGCAGACACTGAGCAGACACTGAGCAGAACCTGAGCAGACACTGAGCAGAACCTGAGCAGAACCTGAGCAGACACTGAGCAGAACCTGAGCAGACACTGAGCAGAACCTGAGCAGACACTGAGCAGAACCTGAGCAGAACCTGAGCAGACACTGGGCAGAACCTGAGCAGACACTGAGCAGACACTGAGCAGACACTGAGCAGACACTGAGCAGAACCTGAGCAGACACTGAGCAGAACCTGAGCAGAACCTGAGCAGACACTGAGCAGACACTGAGCAGAACCTGAGCAGAACCTGAGCAGAATCATAGCAGAACCTGAGCAGAACCAGAGCACAACCTGGGCAGACACTGAGCAGAACCTGAGCAGAACCTGACCAGAACCTGACCAGAACCTGAGTAGAACCTGAGCAGACACTGAGCAGACACTGAGCAGAACCTGAGCAGACACTGAGCAGAACCTGAGCAGAACCTGAGCAGACACTGAGCAGAACCTGAGCAGACACTGAGCAGACACTGAGCAGACACTGAGCCTGAGCAGACACTGAGCAGAACCTGAGCAGACACTGAGCAGACACTGAGCAGACACTGAGCAGAACCTGAGCAGAACCTGAGCAGACACTGGGCAGACACTGAGCAGAACCTGAGCAGAACCTGACCAGAACCTGACCAGAACCTGAGCAGACACTGAGCAGAACCTGAGCAGAACCTGAGCAGACACTGAGCAGAACCTGAGCAGACACTGAGCAGAACCTGAGCAGAACCTGAGCAGACACTGAGCAGACACTGAGCAGAACCTGAGCAGAACCTTAGCAGAATCATAGCAGAACCTGAGCAGAACCAGAGCAGAACCTGGGCAGACACTGAGCAGAACCTGAGCACACACTGAGCAGACACTGAGCAGACACTGAGCAGACACTGAGCAGAACCTGAGCAGAACCTGACAAGAACCTGAGCAGAACCTGACAAGAACCTGACAAGAACCTGAGCAGAACCTGAGCAGAACCTGAGCAGAACCTGAGCAGACACGGTGTAAGAATCTCCCGGGAATATCTTTAGACTGCGGCGACTTGTGCTCAACAGGAAGTGGAGGTTATTTGCCGACAGGGATGAGCCTGACAGAGCTCCTTACAGCTGGGTCCAGAGGAAGGTATGGCAGCGCATGGGGGTAGCTACATTAGCTAGGTTAGCCACGTTAGCTAGTGTAACCGTAGGGGGGTGTGATGGTCTGTAGTTAGCTCAGATCAAACACGGACATTTGGAACCAAACCCATAAGGAACACAGGTGTGGGGCATATTTTCACATGTTTATGATTAGTTCAGTTATCTTAAGATTGCATCACAGTAGGACATGTTCGTGTTAGCTCAGTTAGCCGAAGCGTAGAGAGTCACTCCTCCACGGTGTTCATTGTGCTGGCAGACAAGGCAGCCACAACTCTCGACCCGCCTTCCCCAGCTACAGTCGGACTACAGTCTGACCCGGGGCAACCATGCTCGGTGAGGGACCATGACGGCTGATCCACACCGTTCCCGGGAGGCAGCCAACCGGGGACACTCACAGGCCTGGAGCTACACCGCGGACTACACTAACAAGCAACACTAGGACTTTCAGAACTACAGTATTTTACATGACAATATTTACCTTAGAGCCAAAAGCGGCAGAACCAGGAAGAAGGCAAGAGGCCGACATGACAATAGGTAGAGGCTTTTATACACAGCAGATCGCCCCCTAGTGACTAAATACCGGTACTAATAAAAGCATGCGTCACACAAGGTTTGCCCCAAAAACAAGTGTCATGACTTTGAACTGTTGGGAAGAGTTATTATTATTATTATTATTATTATTACTACATGATACAAGAAGAAACAGTAGTTATCCTACAGTTATGTAGATATAGTTATCCAGTAGTTATTTCCAAAGCTGCCGATTCCCCAACACAGATCAGAAAATCAAACAATTCCAACCCAAGAAATGAAATGATAAAAATTCAAATCAATTCTTTTATTTACAAAACGTATAGCCATATTGGTTATACACTTTTACAATGTAGGGTTGGTTGGTGTTTTGTAAAAAGGGAACTTCCAAGATTTCATAACATTTTTAGCCTGAACTTCCTGATATTAGCGTGGATGCATCTAAAATAACTCCAGGTCTATTTTTGAAGAGGAAACAATATTGGAAAATCAGCTTGAAAGCAAACCAGCTCTAAAACCAACAAAACTACGATGAAGCAGCCGTGACCTCCCATGATGCACTGGGGCTCCACTGTCACCTGTTTGTTGCTCTGGTGGAAATTGCTTTGGGACTTTGGGATTGGTCTGAAACCTCTGATAAAGTCAGAGCCGCAGTGATGTAGAGTCAGGCCATTTACAAAAACACACTCATAATAAATCTGTATCATTTTAGATCCATCTGATCGAACAAAGATAAATCCACAAAACTACTCGTCATCAGCAGCTTCTTAACAAGTGCGCTACAAAAGGGAAAACAAATGTGTCAAAAACTGCACCTTCTGACTGAGCCGTAAAACCAGATTTTCCAACGGAATGAGAAAAGAGCAACAGTTCTTGAAATTGGACTACATATTTTTGTCCCGTTGGAGAATCTGGTTTTAAAACTCAAAATAAAATAAAAAACACATTGATTCCAGCATTTATTACCTCATTATCTATCATTTTTCACAAGTCGTGGACTAGAGGAGGGTGTGGTTCAATCCTGATGATTGTGTGTCGCTCTTAATAACACCATCAAAGTTTACAAAGTTGTGGATTCACCAACAGCAGATCAGAAAATCAAAGAGTTCAAACAAGAAACACACAGAGACAGGTCCACAGTGAGCGGATGAATAATGTCCATAAATATGAATAAATGTCCGTGGTACTGAAGAGTATTGTACAGTATATTTACAGTAAAATACTACCTTAATGTTATTGTACAGTATATTTACAGTAAAATACTACCTTAATGTTATTGTACAGTATATTTACAGTAAAATACTACCTTAATGTTATTGTACAGTATATTTACAGTAAAATACTACCTTAATGTTATTGTACAGTATATGTACAGTAAAATACTACCTTAATGTTATTGGTACAGTATATTTACAGTAAAATACTACCTTAATGTTATTGTACAGTATATTTACAGTAAAATACTACCTTAATGTTATTGTACAGTATATTTACAGTAAAATACTACCTTAATGTTATTGTACAGTATATGTACAGTAAAATACTACCTTAATGTTATTGGTACAGTATATTTACAGTAAAATACTACCTTAATGTTATTGGTACAGTATATTTACAGTAAAATACTACCTTAATGTTATTGTACAGTATATTTACAGTAAAATACTACCTTAATGTTATTGTACAGTATATTTACAGTAAAATACTACCTTAATGTTATTGTACAGTATATTTACAGTAAAATACTACCTTAATGTTATTGGTACAGTATATTTACAGTAAAATACTACCTTAATGTTATTGGTACAGTATATGTACAGTAAAATACTACCTTAATGTTATTGGTACAGTATATTTACAGTAAAATACTACCTTAATGTTATTGGTACAGTATATTTACAGTAAAATACTACCTTAATGTTATTGGTACAGTATATTTACAGTAAAATACTACCTTAATGTTATTGGTACAGTATATTTACAGTAAAATACTACCTTAATGTTATTGGTACAGTATATTTACAGTAAAATACTACCTTAATGTTATTGTACAGTATATTTACAGTAAAATACTACCTTAATGTTATTGTACAGTATATTTACAGTAAAATACTACCTTAATGTTATTGTACAGTATATTTACAGTAAAATACTACCTTAATGTTATTGTACAGTATATTTACAGTAAAATACTACCTTAATGTTATTGTACAGTATATTTACAGTAAAATACTACCTTAATGTTATTGGTACAGTATATTTACAGTAAAATACTACCTTAATGTTATTGGTACAGTATATGTACAGTAAAATACTACCTTAATGTTATTGGTACAGTATATTTACAGTAAAATACTACCTTAATGTTATTGGTACAGTATATTTACAGTAAAATACTACCTTAATGTTATTGGTACAGTATATTTACAGTAAAATACTACCTTAATGTTATTGGTACAGTATATTTACAGTAAAATACTACCTTAATGTTATTGGTACAGTATATTTACAGTAAAATACTACCTTAATGTTATTGTACAGTATATTTACAGTAAAATACTACCTTAATGTTATTGTACAGTATATTTACAGTAAAATACTACCTTAATGTTATTGTACAGTATATTTACAGTAAAATACTACCTTAATGTTATTGGTACAGTATATTTACAGTAAAATACTACCTTAATGTTATTGGTACAGTATATTTACAGTAAAATACTACCTTAATGTTATTGTACAGTATATTTACAGTAAAATACTACCTTAACAGCTGCAGTATATTCAAAATGCTGCAGCCCGAGTCCTGACTAGAACCAGGAAGTACGACCACATTAGTCCGGTCCTCAGGTCTCTGCACTGGCTTCCCGTGGCCCAGAGGATAGACTTTAAAGCAGCTCTCCTGGTGTACAAGTCTCTCCATGGCCTTGCACCAAAGTACATGTTAAAATACTACCTTAATGTTATTGGTACAGTATATTTACAGTAAAATACTACCTTAATGTTATTGGTACAGTATATTTACAGTAAAATACTACCTTAATGTTATTGGTACAGTATATTTACAGTAAAATACTACCTTAATGTTATTGGTACAGTATATTTACAGTAAAATACTACCTTAATGTTATTGTACAGTATATTTACAGTAAAATACTACCTTAATGTTATTGGTACAGTATATTTACAGTAAAATACTACCTTAATGTTATTGGTACAGTATATTTACAGTAAAATACTAGCTGCAGTAACTTTCTAACCACCAAAACATTTAAGAAGTCCATTCCTCGCTCTCAAAGCCGTTTAGGTCAGTCACTGGTTTCCACGTGCATCAACTTGTACCTTTGTCACAACTTCAGATCAGACAAAAAAAGAGACAAAGGGACCAGTCTAACTCGGGCCCAAAACATCAAATAGTGACTCACAGGGATCTTTGGTGCACGTATGCAGCAGATCACATGTTTTGTCCCAAAGTCTCACCTTAACGAGACTTTCTGTTGAGACAAACTGATGGATCGACTCTGGAACTCCCAGAGCAGTCAGTTTGACACTTTTTCCTCCAATTGAATGAATGCTTTTGGATCTTCGTAACTTTGTGACTTTTTTGTTTCTAAATGTTTGTTAAATGATCTGGACCCTATAGACCGGGTCCTGGTCCTGGTTCACACAATTTACACACACACAATTTATTCTTGTATAGCCCTAGGTCACAACAGAAGTCATCTCAGAGACTTAACAAAACCATTGAAATCACCAACACAGGTCAGAGAATCAACAGTTAAAACACATGAAGAATATAAAGCACACACAGAAGAAAATGTCCATACATGTTGTAGAATGCTAAAGTGTCCTGATCATCACCAATCCTTTCTGTTGGACACTAACTGTCCAACAAGACCCTCCTGCATCCACAAGGAACAACTCTTAAAAAACCCAGTGGGAAAAAGTGAGAAACCTTGGGGAGCACTAGGGAAACCCACAGGGAGGGAGACCCATATGAGAAAGGGATCCGCTCCTCCGGACGGACAGGCTAATGATCTAGGACCTACGCTAGCTACAGGACCTAAGCTAGCTACAGGACGTGGACCACATCAGAGCCACATCAGCCTTGGAGCGAGTGCTGGTTACCATAGCAACACTCTGATTACTCGCAGCAGTTAGCATTTAGTGTTGCTATATTTGATGTATGCTAGCCAGTTTTAGCATGAAGACAGATCAAAAAATGTATGAATTACTAAAACAACTAAAACAGAATGGGAAAGTTAAAGTTAGGTGCACCAGCTTTAAATTCCAACTTATGAAATGTAAGACTCGTAGTAATGAGGTGAATATTCCGCACTGACCGTTTGCTTTATGTCCGGGATCCCGATTCGGAACACCATCATGGCGATGGTGGCGTCGTCGGAGGTCACAGAGCTGCGTTCCTTCAGCCTCCTCTGATTGGCTGAGGGCTGCTGGTGGGCGGGGCCAGGGGTGGAGGAGTAGGGGTTGCTGTTGGCGTGGCTGGGGTTCCCTGTCCGCATCTGTCCTCTAGGGGGCGCCTTCGCAGACCTGCCCCGGGACAGGCCGCCGTGGTGAACGTCGTCTTCCGTCTCCCCAGACGCCTCCGCCGCCTCGTAGGCCTGTCACCACAACATTTCACCATAACATTTTTACTTTTTACATGTGTTTGTATAAAGTTTATGCTGTTTGCTCCATTTACATAAACGTTTGGATGATCATATGTCGCTTTAAAATAACATTTACTTTTATTTTGTGTCTGAGTAAGCTTTGTAAAGTCGACGATTCTGATCTAGTAGGAGTAGTAGTAGTAGTAGTAGTAGTAGTAGTAGTAGTAGTAGTAGTAGTAGTAGTAGCTGTGAAAGGGCCTGATATGAACGTGAAAGGGGCCCCGTGCAGCCCGCGGGCCGCAGGTTGACTGTGAAGGCCACAGGTTACATCCCAGTCTCACCTTGTCGTCCCGTAGCTCCTCCTCCTCCTCCTCCTCCTCCTCTTCCTCCTCCGTCCCGGGGTACAGGTGTCGGGAGTTTCCCAGCATCCTTTGCTGCTGTTTGTCTCTGGACAGGGAGGAGCGTCACGGCCACCGAGACAGCGCCATCTTGAGGACCGCCATCGTCACATGAGCCCTGAGGAGGAGACACAAGGAGCCGTCAGGAGCCGTCTAATGTGATCATACTTCCTGGTTCTAGTCAGGACTAATGTGGTCGTACTTCCTGGTTCTAGTCAGGACTAATGTGGTCGTACTTCCTGGTTCTAGTCAGGACTAATGCGGTCGTACTTCCTGGTTCTAGTCAGGACTAATGCGGTCGTACTTCCTGGTTCTAGTCAGGACTAATGTGGTCGTACTTCCTGGTTCTAGTCAGGACTAATGTGGTCGTACTTCCTGGTTCTTTTCAGGACTAATGTGGTCGTACTTCCTGGTTCTAGTCAGGACTAATGTGGTCGTACTTCCTGGTTCTAGTCAGGACTAATGTGGTCGTACTTCCTGGTTCTAGTCAGGACTAATGTGGTCGTACTTCCTGGTTCTAGTCAGGACTAATGTGGTCGTACTTCCTGGTTCTAGTCAGGACTAATGTGGTCGTACTTCCTGGTTCTAGTCAGGACTAATGTGGTCGTACTTCCTGGTTCTAGTCAGGACTAATGTGGTCGTACTTCCTGGTTCTAGTCAGGACTAATGTGGTCGTACTTCCTGGTTCTAGTCAGGACTAATGCGGTCGTACTTCCTGGTTCTAGTCAGGACTAATGTGGTCGTACTTCCTGGTTCTAGTCAGGACTAATGTGGTCGTACTTCCTGGTTCTAGTCAGGACTAATGCGGTCGTACTTCCTGGTTCTAGTCAGGACTAATGTGGTCGTACTTCCTGGTTCTAGTCAGGACTAATGCGGTCGTACTTCCTGGTTCTAGTCAGGACTAATGTGGTCGTACTTCCTGGTTCTAGTCAGGACTAATGTGGTCGTACTTCCTGGTTCTAGTCAGGACTAATGTGGTCGTACTTCCTGGTTCTATTCAGGACTAATATGGTCGTACTTCCTGGTTCTAGTCAGGACTAATATGGTCGTACTTCCTGGTTCTAGTCAGGACTAATGTGGTCGTACTTCCTGGTTCTTGTCAGGACTAATGTGGTCGTACTTCCTGGTTCTAGTCAGGACTAATGTGGTCGTACTTCCTGGTTCTAGTCAGGACTAATGCGGTCGTACTTCCTGGTTCTAGTCAGGTCTAATGTGGTCGTACTTCCTGGTTCTAGTCAGGACTAATGTGGTCGTACTTCCTGGTTCTAGTCAGGACTAATATGGTCGTACTTCCTGGTTCTAGTCAGGACTAATGTGGTCGTACTTCCTGGTTCTAGTCAGGACTAATGTGGTCGTACTTCCTGGTTCTAGTCAGGACTAATGTGGTCGTACTTCCTGGTTCTAGTCAGGACTAATGTGGTCGTACTTCCTGGTTCTAGTCAGGACTAATGTGGTCATACTTCCTGGTTCTATTCAGGACTAATGCGGTCGTACTTCCTGGTTCTAGTCAGGACTAATGTGGTCGTACTTCCTGGTTCTAGTCAGGACTAATGTGGTCGTACTTCCTGGTTCTAGTCAGGACTAATGTGGTCGTACTTCCTGGTTCTAATCAGGATTAATGTGGTCGTACTTCCTGGTTCTAGTCAGGACTAATGTGGTCGTACTTCCTGGTTCTAGTCAGGACTAATGTGGTCGTACTTCCTGGTTCTAGTCAGGACTAATGTGGTCGTACTTCCTGGTTCTAGTCAGGACTAATGTGGTCGTACTTCCTGGTTCTAGTCAGGACTAATGCGGTCGTACTTCCTGGTTCTAGTCAGGACTAATGTGGTCGTACTTCCTGGTTCTAGTCAGGACTAATGTGGTCGTACTTCCTGGTTCTAGTCAGGACTAATGTGGTCGTACTTCCTGGTTCTAGTCAGGACTAATGTGGTCGTACTTCCTGGTTCTAGTCAGGACTAATGCGGTCGTACTTCCTGGTTCTAGTCAGGACTAATGCGGTCGTACTTCCTGGTTCTAGTCAGGACTAATGTGGTCGTACTTCCTGGTTCTAGTCAGGACTAATGCGGTCGTACTTCCTGGTTCTAGTCAGGACTAATGCGGTCGTACTTCCTGGTTCTAGTCAGGACTAATGTGGTCGTACTTCCTGGTTCTAGTCAGGACTAATGCGGTCGTACTTCCTGGTTCTAGTCAGGACTAATGTGGTCGTACTTCCTGGTTCTAGTCAGGACTAATGTGGTCGTACTTCCTGGTTCTAGTCAGGACTAATGTGGTCGTACTTCCTGGTTCTAGTCAGGACTAATGTGGTCGTACTTCCTGGTTCTAGTCAGGACTAAAGTGGTCGTACTTCCTGGTTCTAGTCAGGACTAATGTGGTCGTACTTCCTGGTTCTAGTCAGGACTAATGTGGTCGTACTTCTGTGGCTATCGTACTCTGGTTCTAGTCAGGACTAATGTGGTCGTACTTCCTGGTTCTAGTCAGGACTAATGTGGTCGTACTTCCTGGTTCTAGTCAGGACTAATGCGGTCGTACTTCCTGGTTCTAGTCAGGACTAATGTGGTCGTACTTCCTGGTTCTAGTCAGGACTAATGTGGTCGTACTTCCTGGTTCTAGTCAGGACTAATGGGTCGTACTTCCTGGTTCTAGTCAGGACTAATGTGGTCGTACTTCCTGGTTCTAGTCAGGACTAATGTGGTCGTACTTCCTGGTTCTAGTCAGGACTAATGTGGTCGTACTTCCTGGTTCTTGTCAGGACTAATGTGGTCGTACTTCCTGGTTCTAGTCAGGACTAATGTGGTCGTACTTCCTGGTTCTATTCAGGACTAATGTGGTCGTACTTCCTGGTTCTATTCAGGACTAATGCGGTCGTACTTCCTGGTTCTAGTCAGGACTAATGTGGTCGTACTTCCTGGTTCTAGTCAGGACTAATGCGGTCGTACTTCCTGGTTCTAGTCAGGACTAATGTGGTCGTACTTCCTGGTTCTAGTCAGGACTAATGCGGTCGTACTTCCTGGTTCTATTCAGGACTAATGCGGTCGTACTTCCTGGTTCTAGTCAGGACTAATGTGGTCGTACTTCCTGGTTCTAGTCAGGACTAATATGGTCGTACTTCCTGGTTCTAGTCAGGACTAATGTGGTCGTACTTCCTGGTTCTAGTCGGGACTAATATGGTCGTGCTTCCTGGTTCTAGTCCGGACTAATGTGGTCGTACTTCCTGGTTCTAGTCAGGACTAATGTGGTCGTACTTCCTGGTTCTAGTCAGGACTAATGTGGTCGTACTTCCTGGTTCTAGTCAGGACTAATGCGGTCGTACTTCCTGGTTCTAGTCAGGACTAATGTGGTCATACTTCCTGGTTCTATTCAGGACTAATGCGGTCGTACTTCCTGGTTCTAGTCAGGACTAATGTGGTCGACTTCCTGGTTCTAGTCAGGACTAATGTGGTCGTACTTCCTGGTTCTAGTCAGGACTAATGTGGTCGTACTTCCTGGTTCTAGTCAGGACTAATGCGGTCGTACTTCCTGGTTCTAGTCAGGACTAATGTGGTCGTACTTCCTGGTTCTAGTCAGGACTAATGTGGTCGTACTTCCTGGTTCTAGTCAGGACTAATGTGGTCGTACTTCCTGGTTCTAGTCAGGACTAATGTGGTCGTACTTCCTGGTTCTAGTCAGGACTAATGTGGTCGTACTTCCTGGTTCTAGTCAGGACTAATGTGGTCGTACTTCCTGGTTCTAGTCAGGACTAATGTGGTCGTACTTCCTGGTTCTAGTCAGGACTAATGTGGTCGTACTTCCTGGTTCTAGTCAGGACTAATGTGGTCGTACTTCCTGGTTCTAGTCAGGACTAATGTGGTCGTACTTCCTGGTTCTAGTCAGGACTAATGTGGTCGTACTTCCTGGTTCTAGTCAGGACTAATGTGGTCGTACTTCCTGGTTCTAGTCAGGACTAATGTGGTCGTACTTCCTGGTTCTAGTCAGGACTAATGTGGTCGTACTTCCTGGTTCTAGTCAGGACTAATGTGGTCGTACTTCCTGGTTCTAGTCAGGACTAATGTGGTCGTACTTCCTGGTTCTAGTCAGGACTAATGTGGTCGTACTTCCTGGTTCTAGTCAGGACTAATGTGGTCGTACTTCCTGGTTCTAGTCAGGACTAATGCGGTCGTACTTCCTGGTTCTAGTCAGGACTAATGCGGTCGTACTTCCTGGTTCTAGTCAGGACTAAAGATGAAGTTGGATTTGAACTTTAGCTTCAAAAACAAAAAGTATCTTTCTCAACATTAATCTGAGAAAAAAACCTGTTCCCGTGTGAACAAGCCCAAAAACAGAAAGAATCCTCATTATTCTAGTTTGCTCAGAATCACTGCAGCAGTAGATGTGACGTCCCAGGATAATGAACAGTTTATTTACTGACATATTTATTTATTTAGACGATAAAAACACAAATGAGAGAAAAAGAACCATGTGCAGACGGTTTAGAGCACCGCAGGAGAGACAGTGAAAAATGGTCTGTTTTGGGGCGTTTTGTAGCATTTTGAGGCGACCTTTGTGCGTTTCTTCGACTGACAGGTTTTACGGGGCCAAGAGTTTAAAAAGGTCCGGTTTGTTGTTTCCATGGAGACAGAGTCATGTGGAACTGTTAAGATATAGAACAAACAAGGAAGACAACATGTAAACTATTAGAAGCCAAAGCCAGTTTCCTTATATGGGAATGTTCCTTGTTGCTAAGATGGTTGCTAAGGAAAGCAACCTTGAATGAAGGAATCTGATTGGTCAATATCTATGGCGTATGACTAGATGAAGAGTGTGACACAAACAATTGAGCAAGAGATAATTTTGCTCTCTCTGGTTTCTCTCTCTGGTCTCTCTCTGGTCTCTCTCTGGTCTCTCTCTGGTCTCTCTCTCTGGTCTCTCTCTGGTCTCTCTCTCTCTGGTCTCTCTCTGGTCTCTCTCTCTGGTCTCTCTCTGGTCTCTCTCTGGTCTCTCTCTGGTCTCTCTCTCTCTGGTCTCTCTCTCTGGTCTCTCTCTGGTCTCTCTCT